TAACTCTTGTTTTCATTGCCTTCCTCTCATAGCGGCACCGGTGTGCTCCTGAGTTTGCCAGTTCTTTGGGAGCGATATTGGGGTTGCGCCTCTGAGTCTGCCATGACTTGGGGGTGTTGGCTGTGCTCCCTGATTCCGCAACTACTTGAAGGAAACCATTTGGGTCTCGCTCCTGAATCCGCCGGTATGTGGGGAAAGAACGCTGGACATGCTCCTGAATCCACCAGTACTTTGGGGAAAGCATACTGACCGGCTCAATGTAGTTTCTGGAACGTCTCCGGAAGACTGCTTGGAGTTCCGGTCCCTCCACTTTCGTGTTTTCGACTACACGAGGTACGCAGAATGCTTCCTGTAGGCTCCTAAGTCCAGATCTCTCCAAACTGCTGTTTTGGAGTCCTAACGTTTGCAGAGTGTGTCGAGAAGAATTGTGTATATGTACGGACTGTATAGATGGATGGATGGATGGATGCATGGATGGATGCATGGATGGATTGATGGTCCAAGGGAGGGAGGGAGAGAAGGATGGATGGATGTATGGATGGATGTCCGCGCCCCAGGATGGGTGATATTATTTCCCATACTCAAACGGAGTGAAAAACGAATGCATGCATGATTGAGTGTTTGTGGATGTATGGCCGGGTGAGGTTTTTTTTTACCGTCAACATTCGTTACCATATGAAGGAAGGCATGCACACATGCATGCATGCATTCATAGTACATAATTTCTGTCTATATTTCTTGGGTGCAAGCGCTTTTGTCTATGCTTTCTCTCCGGTCCTTCGTGCCGATCCTACTTGCCTGCACATGCTTGACCTTGCACAAGGTGCAGATCTAAGTTTTTAGGGCTTTGCAGCACACACAAACTGTGGGTTTGGGAAGGAGTGAGGCAGGCTTGAGTTCTGGATGGAACCGTCGTCAAACCCTCTTCAGCAACCATTCGTGCGGGCGGGTAAGTGGTGCTTTCTTGAGGTCTATGCGGAAGATCCTTTGGAACCAGGTGAAGTGGATCGGGTCAGGCAGACGAGGCCCACACGGTCCACAAATGTGAGCGCTTGGCTTTTGCACTTTCCCTCTCATGTCTACTTCCTATGACTGCGGAGTTTGGATGAACCTCTCGCCTCTATGCTTGGTTGGCAGATTCAACGCCTGCGTTCGGAAAGAACAAGATGATGAGACGAAGCGGCTTGTGGAGGACCTGCTGTGGACCGTGAAGACTTTTAAGATGTTGTGGTCGCGGCAGGAACGAAAAGCTGCCAAGGCTGCCCGGTGACCCCATGGGTTACGACATCGCTCACAGATCACCCGCCGGTCAACTTGCAGAAATGTGCGAGCAGATCGGGGCCGGCACTGGAGCAAAATGAGGTGCTTGCTTCTTGTGTGCGGTGCTTTAGACTCCAGCTCATATGGCATCTGTCCTTGTAGAAACATGCTCCCGTGCTCCAGCTGGGATATTCATGGTGCCAGCTGCCATCAAAGAGAGATGCAGAAGGCAGAGTCATTGATCAGACGCCTTCCCGCTCTCTGTTTCAGAACGAAAAGTGCAATGAAGTAAATGTTAGACACACCTTAGAGCCATCATGTCATTGTCTGGGATGGACAATCCGCAGGTCCGCAGGCTTCTCAAAGACCATTCTCGTCTCTCGTATCCTGGCAGAGGCCCCGAGTGGAGGCGCAGGCGCAGGCGATGCGGACGTCATCATCCCCAGCAGGCCAGTTCCAGTTCTAGTTCAAGGTCCCCTGCATTGCGCACGGATCTGAAGCTCAAGGCAATTTTAGCAGTCGGCGGTGGTTGAGACCGCACGTTTCCTGGCTGCTCTTGCTTCTTACTGTGCTGGACAGGGTGCGTGTCCAAGAGATCACCAGCCTGAGGCTCAGCAAGATTTTTCTGCACCGGCTCAGACTGGGTTTTCTTATTGTATTGTCGCAGCACGGATGGAGGCACAAGTTCGCCCGGGTTGCTCCGTGTTGCTCTGTCAGGTCCAGATGCGATGTATCCACCACCTCGACAACCAAATCGGGACCCAGCCCACGGGTGCCGTTCTCTGCTTCGCAGAACATAGAGAAATCGGAGACACGTGTTGTGAGTGTTTCCCTCATAGAGTATCAGCAACTGCATGACCTTGCCTCATGGACGGTTGCAGGAGCCTTCTGCATATCCCTCAGATGGTTGGGTGCAGCTCTCGGAAGAGAGCACTTGCGCCCGATCCTGTCGCTGTTCGGTCGTTGCAGCTGAAACGTGCGTCTGCATACGCATTTTTCGTACAAACATATTTTCGCTGCGAATCATTCACTGCTTTTTCCACCCTCCACACCATAAAGAAGTCCGGACAACCACGAATCGAGTATGGGAGTGAAGTATTGCATGAAGGCTCTCGTCATGTGGTCCGTCCGTGAGCCCGGGTTGGAAGCTCTGCGCAAGGAGTGGGTTGCTTGGGGCGGCGCCAGGGACAGCCACCTTTCCCTTGGAAGTTTGCAGATGGTTTCTATGCTGTTGTTTGCAACAACGTCGACATCCTTCTTCACGGCAGCGCTTCCTAAAACCACTGTGGTATCCCCATCGGTGTGGTCATTTTTTGGTCAGGCTGGGAGGAAGTTATTCGGCATTGGCATGTGTCGGGCCAGATATTTGACGCCTTTTGTTAGGCCGGGCTCGTGCCTCGGGCTACCTCAACTCAGACTGCCTAGACTTGAGAGCTCAGCTTGAGATCTCAGGCCAGTATCTACGGAAGCAATGCTCCAGTGGTGAAAAGCCAGGGTCCAAAGTGTAAGATTCTCGCATCAATTCTCCAAGACTTGCAAAGTTTACCGCGAGGACCAGATCCGCTACCTCCTGTGGAGACGGCCTTTTTCTTCAAAGTGTTGGGAAAAGACGAGCAGCCGGCCGCGACCCCAGACGCTTCAATGTTCAAGCCCATGCCAGACTCCCGACTTTTGGATTTGCGAAGGTCTACAATCAACCAGACGAGAGCAGCACCCTGATCGGTCATCGGTTACAAGGGGAGGCTGGGCCCTTTTACCGATAAGGCTGATGCTGGTGCAAAACGACTCCACATGCACAGAAGGTGCTCCGGGTCATCGACTTTAGTGGTGCATGGTTGCGGCTTGCCGCAGACACTGAAGCACAGGCGAAGAAGACTCCAGCCTCAGTCGTGGACACTTGAACCTTTGCAGTGTTTGCACAGGTTGAGCAGAGGCCGGGCCTTCATAGATCGCAGACAGGCTGCCAACACTTTTCTCGTCATGTTGCTTGTGTAAGCGGAAATCGAGGGATATCGGACATAGCGGTCATTTGTGACAACCGAACCCGAGTCTAGTTGTGACCACTTGGTTCTGGCTCGAGACTGGTTCTGGACCCAGTCCATCGTGCTTGCAGTGGGTAATTAAAGTCCGTGCAGCTTCGTACTTGGCTCGATGGGTCTCTTGTTGGAGTGTCTGGCTGGCTGCTGAGTGGAGCTTCCAACTGTTTGTTGGAGCTACCGTCCCTCACCTCAGACACCTAGCTGGACCTAGCTGAGCTTGTCCACGTATCGTAGAGGCCTGCAGTGCTGAAGTTGTGCATTGGACCTTTACGTTATTCCGCCACACCCGCCCCTCTCCTGTCAAAGGCAGTTGCCTGATGTGTATCTTGTGTACTGATTCGCGTGGACTCATTCGAGTGGGAAAGTAAGCGCCCACGTGGTCACAAGTGACCGGGAACCCAGATAGCTACAATTGACTGCATGATGAGGTCGTCACAAGTACTGGTGCTGCCATTTGCTTGAATTTACACCGCGTCTACCTCGGAATAAGCTGAACAGTCATAGCTGGGGACTACAGCATAAGTTAAGAGAATGCAGTTTGGAGTCATCTGCCTGTCTAGTGCCCTAGCATGAGCTCAAGTTGTGATTGGTCTGTTCCTAGTTGTGATTGTTGTTGCGCCATTGTGCAGGAACTTGTTCATTTTGCGATAATGGGGGTGGGTTCATGATTGCACGACTGCAGGACTCAGCCGAGCAGACGTCCTGTCAATCGCAGCAAGTGGCAGCAGCCTATCCCTCGCATGCGTGAGCACCCCTTCCCTGGTGTTTTCTGTATACTATAGGTACCAACTTCGGAACAGGTCGCAAATTGTTTTAGCATGTTTTAGCATGGCTTGGCCCTGAAAGGTGGGAGGGTTGGATGTTGGCCGAGACTGCAGAGGACAAGATATGCAGACTCGCTGCACCGCATGTCCTTCTGGACCTTGGTCCATCTTAGCACGAGCAAAGCCAGTTGGATGTCGCAAACGGCAGAATCGAAGACCTGTTCCTACTTGAGAACGGACAAGAGTCGTCAAGCGCCGTGGCACGTGGATAAATCAACATTTCAATTACCGGAAATTTGGCTTTCGCAGAGTGCTTTACGGTGCAGATCTAGCCCTGTCGATTTTATTGGCTTCTGCAGGAGACTTTGCTAGATGAGATCGAAGATCCGGAAGAGCATGAGAAGGACTCGTGGATTCAAGCTGTTTTGGAGAGAATCCGTCCCGATTCCCAAGAAGGGCATGCTAGCTTGACGATGTAACAAGCTCTCGTTTGGAGCATCTGCTTGCGTGTCGTGAGGAGTTCACGAAGGATCTCTTCAGGCACGAAGCCTGCGACAATTCCTGTCATGTCATGTCGTTTTCCGGCGAATACTTGGAGGCGCGTGTGGAAAATCAACGATCATGTTACATCCAGGTTGAGAGACAGGACTGGCAGTAGCTGGGTCTTTCAATCACGCCTGTTTTTGCTGCCATTTGCCATAGGACCGAGCGTGCCCTGCAGTGCGCCCTGTGCATTGCCTGTGTGGCATATCAACGGCCAAAGTCGCACATGCTCGCAGGTACCTGAGTGCCGGCCGTGTCCCTCCGGGGTGAAAGTCTCAGTCGAGCTGGTGGCAGTTGGTGCGAAATGTAAAACGTGTTTGGCCCGTTTGGCCATGTTCGCGCAAGGAAAAAGCAATTGCTACCGGAAGGCACCCGATGTGTGAATGCCTTCTGGGGCCTCGAGGCTGGACAAGCCGATGGCGGGTGTATGTTGTGCAAACCGGCTGTCCAGGCTCGATGGGTTCCACTAGCGGAGGGCGAAGAGTACTGGCCACAAGGTTGCCTGACCTTGTCCCGGACCTAAGCCTTCAGTCAACCGATGCAGGGGGTTTGCAATGCGTTTGCAGTCAGGTCAGCCGGCTACGTGAAGTCAGGCTGGGAGCAGCCTGCAGAGGAGGCCAGGCTGCGCAATGACGCATATAATATGACGCCCACTGCCACTGCCGCTACCACTTGGCAATTGGCGATGTAACCTGCAAGGCACGCTGTGGACACTGGCGAGTCTTTGCAGCACGGCCGTTTGAAGCCCATGAGCTCATCGAGGCAAGAGTGCAAATAATCCAGTCACGCCTAGCTCCTGCGTAGAGTCAGCTTCGCAACCTGGCTTTCCCTTGTCTCTCGGGCCCGGATGTCCCCAACACGACCAGCTACCTGCTAACTCCGTAGCGGCCGGCACCGGCTTTCGACTGGCTGCGCTCTCCGCACACACAGTATGCAAGCCATGCAAGCGTGGCATTGATAGTTTTGGGACGTTTTGCTTCAGGTTTGGCTCGTTGCGTGCTCTCTGCATGCACCCCAGCTTCATGGCTTGGAACCTGCAGGTTTGTCCCCTTGCAGAGGCTGGGGCCTAAGGGCCTGCAGCAAGCAAAAACGATCGTCGATGGGCAATGTTGTGGCCTGGATTGCTGCGCAAGGTGGATCTGGAAACATGCATCGTGACTCGGCTGCCACAGTTTGTAAGCACTGCAATTTGTCACAGTCCCCTTGCAGTGCTTGAGCCACGCAATTGGAAACGTCATTTCGGTTGTCGGCTCTGCACTAAGGCAAGCTTCCAGCTCCGGATGAACATTGTGGAGACACCTGCAGATGAGGATGCGCACAGATTCATGTATACAAAATGTCCGCAGTGGGGTTCACAAACTGTTGTGACCTGTTACCGGCAGGATGCGAGCTACACGGGCAAAACAGGCCGAGTGAAGTCCTATGCCTCCTTGCAGCAGGGCAACGATGCGGGACTTTGATGTGGCTGTGACAATGCCTTCCGAGACGTAAGGTTCCTCTGGGATATGGCATGCTCTACCAGCAATCTATTGAGCTCCCAGATGCTCAGAGCTGAGTCATCGGGACATGGGGCTGCCCAGTGAAGACATTTGCAGAAGATTGCTTCCTCAACCCTGCCTGTGGCTGTTAAGTGCATCAGGTTCAGATCAACTGGACACCTGTCACGAACTTCAACTGCAAGTTCGTCCCAGTTGGAAAGTTCGAGACTTGGTGTCTCGGTGTTCCGGAGCACGCAACATCAGCTGTGATGCGAGATCCGCAACTGAGTCACATGTACATCTATGCTGCCCGGAAGATCCAGGCCTTTACCACGCATGTGGCAGCAGAATGGAAAGAAGCAGTAGAAATGGTGCCGAATAGCATCCAGGCAGACGAGGAGCTCATCCTGGAGCACGGAAGCCAAGGAAGAATGCCTTCACTTGGTTGCAATGTTAAAACCTTTTCTGTGAAAATAGAACGAAATTGAACGGCAGCAAGGGGGCGGATTCGGGAGCTGTGGAGCGGGTAGGTTCTCATCACTTAGCGCCTGTCTCCAGCTTTTCGTTCGCACAATGTACTGAAATCCTTGGAGCATCAAATCAGTCCGATTCTTTGCTTAGCCTTGAAAGGATCGTGGGCCTTTGACAGAAGCTTCCCGAAGGAGCCCGAACCTGAAACCGAAGCTTCAAGCCGTAAGCGCTAAACTTAAACGCTCAACCGAAACAAGACGAGCGGACATGCGGGAAGCCGATCCCTAATCGTAAATGGGTCAGTCTTTCATGCAGCAGCACACAGTGCGAACATCGGATCTTAGGAACCCTTTGTCATCATCACGGTGTAAGCCGTCGGCAGACGAGCATGGGAGCTAGTTAAAGCTAGATATTGCCTGCATTCAGGCAACCACGCTGCTAGATATTTCCTGCATTCGGCAACCAAGCCGCTAGATAAGCACTCAGCGATGGTCTCCGCAAAAATCGGTAGCCAGAGCGACTGAATCAACCAGAACGGCTGAATCGGGAACCAGCCATGATTCAGAAACCGGCCATGAGTCGGAAACCAAAACGGCTGATTCGGAAACCAAGCAAACTGATCCGGAAACCACGTTCCGCTTCCGTTGACACGGTCGCCTGAGAGTTTTCGATCCAACATGCCCAGCATTGCAAAGAAAAACGTCCCGGGCAAACGCTAGCATTGTCTGCGTTTTCCAGCATCCTCGTCCGGGCATTTGGCCGGAATCTAGCATTATCTAGCATTGTCTAGCTTGGCCCGATGATTGCAGGGTTTAGTTTTGAGTCAGTTGCCAAACATGCTCGTAGAAAAAGGGCAGAGTTTCGTTTGCAGCTTTCCATTTCAGGCGAATTGCCCAGTAGCTCTGAGTAAGCTACCAAGCAAGCTCGCAGAAAAAAGGGTATATTTTCGTTTACAGCTTTCTATTTAAGGCCAGGTAACAAACAAGCTCGCAGGAAAAGGGCATAGTTTCGTTTGCAGCTTTCCATTCTTGGCCAATTGCCCAGCACCGGACGCACCCTCTAATTCTTTCAAAGCCATAAATCTTTAGCACATGATCAATGTAATAATTATCTAGCTTTGTTTCCTGGGTATCTCTAGCTTTACCCTGGCTTTCTCTAGCCACCCTTGCCTAGCCAGATTTTTCCTGTGGCTGTGAACCGGCCGGGATACCACCACCAATGTGTTCCTACGATCGGAAGCTCAGAGACGACGCATGCGCCACCGGGCACCGCAATAGTTTTTCGGGACTAGCCTGCGTCTCAGTAGAGCAGCACGGAAAACCTTGGGGCTGGCCGATTAAAGTTAAAGCAGGAAGCAAGACACTCAATGCCGCAGTTGTTATTTGCCAAACTTGGGGCGAGGGTGTCAAATCGGAAATCCATCTGGCTATGTTGTGAAGGTCGACTGTGCCATTTGGGTGTCATTTGTGCAGCTTTGCAGCTGTCTGCAGTAGTCAGGTACAAGCGCTGCTTCCGGACGGATGAGGCGCGCTCGGAGGATCTCGTTGCATAGCTGGCAGCGAAACTCGCAAAGGGTGAGTCCATCAACTTCGAAGGCTTCACACCCTACTGGCAGCCTGCTCGTATTCGCACTCGTGTTGCAAGAAGATGCCGCTGCACATGTCATGAGGTGCCGTCAAGAGCATCCAGATGCTTTCCGCAAGGCCCTGATCTCACGGGCCGTTGTGCTGAGTTCAGGTGGTCCACACCACGCCTGTTCGTCAACATGATGGTATGTACATTGGTACCAAACGCTCTTCTTTTTCCGGGTCGCATTGACCTTGCTGCAAGTTCTTGCAGGCACTGACGGCCCCATGCGGGCCGCGCAAAGTGCGCCCAATCCCAGGGAGCGTGAAGTTCGGCAAGCCTGGAGCCCTGAGTGTTCTGAGCCACATTCAACCTGCGGGCGAGGTTTTTTGAGACTTTCACTAGGACGTTGCTGTTTTGAGTGCTGTTCAGGTCAAGGCTTCACGGCCGCGGAGTCTTTGCCGATGCGGCCTTCAAGAAGGGTGAGATCGTTGAGCAGCCTCCTGAGCTGAAGTGAAACCTTGGCAGTCCTTGATGGAGTAGTTACTGCAGGATGTGCCCTTGTCTTATCATTGACACGAACGGTGCTGACTGCATGCAGGAGGGGAAAAGTGTGGTTCTGAGTTCACAATGTCAGACTTTCTGCAGGACCACTGCTTCCAACTCCCTGAAGTCAAGATCGATGTGGAGGGTGTGGGTCCTGGATGCCGTTGACCGGGCCAGAGCATCTTACAAGAATGGTATGTACTTCATCTTCTTTGCCCTGCTGTACCCTGACTCGTCGACTCGTTACTTACTTCCAGTTGTTGTCTTGAGCTGGTCTTTCAATCCGAGCTTTCGAATTTGTGTGCCGTTCCTGTTGTCCATGCCCTTCCATAAATTTTACTTGTTTATTTATTTGGCAGCGAGGTCCCATGGTAGGTACCTTGGACCTGGCATCATGATTTGACTCAGGTGGGAGTGTGATGAAGCGTCAGTCGCGCTATGTGCTTCCTTGTGGCCATGCGCTTTGAACAGCATTGCCCTGTTCCACTAGAAGCCACTAACCGAAGCCCAGGATACGGTGGCATGTACAACCACTTGGAGCGTAATCAAGGACGTGCTTGATGCAGAGGGGCCTGAGGTTCGAACGAGGATTTCTAGGTGCCATGACTTGCTGCAAGGAGAGAACGTTCAGTGGTTTTATGCCGGACACTCAACGGTTTGGATGCACTTGGCGGACATTGCTTGAGATCAGTTTTCGCCGGGTCAAGCGCAAGATCGAGTCGAGGATGAGACGACTCAATGTTGTGTATGGGTCGCTCATCCGCAGGACAGCTCTCGCACCGCATATTGGTCGTCAATCAGTGCAGTTTAGCAGTGTGCTTGTACAGACGATGTTGGAGGGAGTAGCCATTTGCCGTAGACACGATCATCGATGTGCCAGGCATTTCTGATTCTGGGAACTAAAGATATCGCTGCGCTTGTTGGTCCTTTCACGTTCAGAGGAGGGGCAGGATGAACTGCAACGGAACGAGGAGCTCTGCTTTGACTATGGCGAGGCCACCGTCTCGCAAGTTTGCAGGCCAAACCAATATCCAGATTTTCAGGCTTACTGGGATGCCCCACATCGTCGCTTCCAACGACCTGCCGCACTCTCCTCAGTGTCCAACAAGCGGACCGAACAAAATCCATAAGAAGTCAAGCACTGTCAGGCACGGACCACTGCTGAAGCTGGTGGTTAAAATACAGACAAAAGAAGATTAGATAGATATGTTTATATATATATATTAATTATAATAAACACATATTTATATTGAGAAATTTCTTTGATCTGCTTCAGAAAAATGGACAAGATTACTCATTCAGAGATTTCAACAATTTCATGAATGAATTTCATATAAACTGAATTTTAATTCCTACTCTATTGACATTATATATATATATTCCTATGATTATTTATCTTCATGAATTTATCTATAATTATTTGAATATGATTACGCTGGAAAAAAATATAAGATCACTATAAAAAATAGAAAAAGACAAATTTATATTAATATAATATATATAAAGAAATATATAAAATCTATTATAGTTATATAAATATTGATTCTATATTTGATATCGAAATATATAAATATATATAACTTTGATATTTCTATACAAAATTGAAAACAGAAGATTCTGATTATTCTTTCGAAATTTCAAGGAATATGATTTAAATTAAGTAATTATCGAATATTGAATTTGAAAAGAATTAAATGAAATGATGTTGTCTTATATTTCGAACACAAAATTCGAATATTAAAAATAACGTATATTTCGATTGTATAATTATATATGAAAAATATAGATATAGATTTATGAAAAATAATTTATATTATTATAATCTATTTATTATATTTTTATTATTTTATTGTCGTTAAGATATGAATATTTCGGATTTAGATCGATTTATTTCAAATTAAAATATTTATATTTATATTTTCTTACATATAAAAATTAAGATATTTGGATTATTTATGATAATTTATTGTTATGATATACGTGTGATATATAAGTGGGTAATATAGTAAAGACGTTTTTCTTTTTGTGTATCTTCTTATATATTGGGTGGCTATGTCGTTTTTATTTAACCCGAAAGATATTGACGATTTTTGTGAAAATAGTAATGGAGATATTTCGTCGATTAAAAAGACTAGAATTTAATATCTTTAAAAAAATTGGGGTTTGGTATTCTCCAATTAATAATCGCGATTTTTGGCGATTAGAATGCTTAGATAATTTGCCTGATATTTTATTACGAATTTAGTATTTAATGATTTTTTATTTAACTTCGATTGTATTTATATTGAAATTATTCTCGTTTATGAATTCTCTTAAATTATGATTCGTAATTTTATACGATATGTTAGACTTAGAAAGATTATTGGCTTCCCGATTTCGTATTTATACCATTAATTTATAGATGTCTTAATATGCGAAATAAAAACCTCACGTCATTTTTCAAAGCTCCAAAAAGCGAAATAAAATCTTTCTAGGATTTGTAGGGATTGAATTTATAGGACTATATTGATAGAAATCTTTATCATTAATTTCTAAAAATTTCAATAAACGAAATAAAATTCGCATGATTTTGCAACGCCCCCCCAATAAATATAACGAAAACCTTATGATTTCGTATTTAAAACATCAATATAAAAGCTCACATGATTTCATATCCATACCATCAATTTGTAGTCGTACGAAGAAACGAAATACAAATATCATATGATTTTACAACGCCCGAATAAGCGGGACAAAAATCTCATGTGATACACAGGGTCGGGCTTATAAGGCTGGAATAATAGGACTTATTTTATCGGCCCAAGAAATAAAACGAAAATCTCCCATTATTTTGCAACGCTCCAATAAATAACAAAAAAATCATATAATTGCGTAAAAAATATCAATATAGAAATCTATTATTATACCACGATGCCCAAAAAGTCAAGATTAAGAACAATCGCTGCCATATTCGAAAGAATAGATGGCTCCGACGTTCTACTACACTTTACGAGAAACCAAAGAATAATTAATTCTACAGAAAATAATTATAGATATCCACAAATACAAGAATTCTAAAAAAATGGTTTTCTTGGTTTTGTTTGTTTTGGTTTTGTATTTTTTTCCCATTTATTTATTTCTTGTTCTAGAGATTTTCGTGTATTAACATTAATTATAAGCTATCAATCCGGTCATCAAATTATCTATTAAAGATATTAATATTCTAAAATTAAAATATTTCTTAAGTCTCATTTTAATTCGATATATAAAAAGAATAGTCTAATTTTTTAAAAAAATAAAAATTATATTTCGAATAAATATACCTAAAATTACGTTTATTAGCCTAATTACGAATTATTATTATAATTATTATAGATTTTCAATTTACTAAATATATATAAATTATTAAATAACGATATAAAAATTAACAATATAAAAAATATAATCATAATACGGTTAAACCGTATATAAATATTATCTATAATATATTCACTAACTAAGTCGTATTCTAGACTACAAAGCCCACCTTCATCATTAATATTACGCATAAACAAACAGACATTATATCCTTATATCTATCTATAAATTATAACGTCAGCTCCCTAAACACAATCGCCATCCATCTTAATTCCATGTCATACGAAGGCATTTGCCCTCGTGAGCTTCAACACGCCATGCCCCCCCCCCCCATTCATTCATTCTATATATCGACCATCATTAATAAAAACAATTCTCTTTATCGCTAAAATAATATGCTTCCCCGTCATGAAAGATAGATTAAAAAGACTTAATTTCGTATATCGCTAGATAGGCCATATACGACATCTTTTCAATCCATATCATATATCCAAATACTGAATAATTATAAAGAAATACATAGATATATTATATACCGCAAATGTATCTAATATTCTATATATAAATATATATCAAAAATTTAGAGTAGTAAAGAATAAAAACGAAAAAATAAAAATAATAATAGTGCAAACTAACTGGGAACGTATTATAATACTAAGAGAAAATATAAGAATATCAATTAATTGGATAGGACCAATGAGAATAATAATTCAAAATATGACGACCGATTTGAAGGTCAATTTCGAAAGCATATGTAAACCTGTCCGACGTATGAGAATGAATATTCTTATCCAGCTACCATAGCGACGACTCTTGATGCTGAATACCGGCTTTCAACACCGTAAGGGGAACGGACATGCAATTCGATTTGACAGAAAAACGAGATGAAGGACAAGACTGAGGCCGGAGGTCTTCCTTGAGATAGCAGCAACCTTGGCATCTAGCTCATACTGAACGATTTCAACACTACAGATTCCTGGCAATGCCCTCGCCCTTTACGTAGTAGGGACAATGTTATGCGGAGAAGATCCTGTAGGCAAATCTGCGAGACACTCCATTCCTGTCGCATGAGGAATCCCAAAGTCCTTGAGTCCTTGAAATGTCATCAATATCTGAAACCTGCTTTACGAGCGGAAATACACCCCATCATCCAATCATCCAACTCAACAAACATGGTCTAATTATCTGCCAGGCAATGAGCTACCTATGAATGGAAACGCCAGCTTCATGCATGCTAACCTTCTTGCATCATGCGCTTTGTTTTTCGTTTTATTTTTCGCATTGGAGGGTTTTCAGAGCAAGTCTAGCCGTTCCCGCATAGTCCAATCATAGCCAGACTTGTACGCCTCACCAGACCATGTTCACTTGCTTTGCATCTCCGGCCACGCTGTTCACAAGCAACTCAAAAACCCGGCGGTGGGCGCACCAATCGACCCTCAATCGACGTGTCTTCGAGCAAAGGTGACAATGCACTTGACCATCGTCTATCGGGCCTGGCATCTTCGATTGTGACAATTCGGCAATGTACTTTCTTCAGGTACTGCATATGGGCGTAGTTTCGACTTTCAAGCAAAACGTCAAGTTAGCTCCATGGCCCTACTGTAGGTTCCTAGGTTGCCGATAAGGTTCCATCATCGCGCCGTTCGAAGCCGACCTTCATTCATGTAGCAGAGCAATGCTAGACAGGCGCACGATTCAGTGGCTGGTCCGGGCGCATCGGCGCGAAAGCGGTACAGCACCTGCGTGCACTGACATGCCTAGCTGGTGGTGTGGCAATGGAATTCGGGATCCGACGTACGGGAGCTGGACGGGTTTCTTGTCCAGTCGGCCAGCAGCTCCTGAAAAGCGCCATCATGCTGCTTAGTGTCGTGGTGATTGGGTTGTTAAGGCGATGACGTAAGCAATGTGACATTGACTTGCTCACGAGCTTGTCAAAGTCGTCAGCCGACATGTGCTCGAAAACTGGGACCCTCAGACGGATGTAAGATACCTCTGCCTCTGATTGTGGAGACCTCGATCCGAGCTCGAGACTTCGAGCTGCTGGCTTTGTTGCCAGCGCAAAGAACTAGATTGAGACCTCAGGACAGCTGAAAAGTGTTTCGGTATGGGGGTGTAGAAGCAGTGGAGGTGCCGCGCCGCATCCCGCCGCTGGGATCCCAGCGCCAATCGGGACGGCATCTGAAGTTCTCCCCGGGGTTACGAGGAGCGCGTAAGGAAGGGCGCTCCTGCGTGGCGAGTCGCAGATGCCCTTCCCTTAATGCCAAGAGAGCCAGGCTCCACCTTGATCCACCATCTCACTGTATAGGAAAGCCAAACTCACCCCACTGTGGGCACTCTCCTCATCTTCTTCTTCCCCAAGGGCATAGGGGGCGTGTCAAACCCCCGCCTATTGGCCCCCCACCTGTTATGGGGCTCTCGGGGGTATGTGAGAAGCAATATGAGTATCGGGTGTTTCAACAAAGATTGGACAACACTCTCTCTCTCTTCTTCCACACAGTCAAGAGCAGGCAGGAACCCCCACCCACTCCGCGCGCGAGCGCGCCCTGTCCACCGTTGTCTCAGGTAAAACTGCTTTTTAGGATGAGGCCCCCTTGTCCGCAACTGTTGCACCCCCAACCCTGTACTTTAAGTAAAACCCTCAGGCCTCATCCTGAGCCGCATGCCGGCTCCGGCTTGGTGAGCTCGCTCTGTATTTCAAGCTCACTTGCAAAAGCGTCGTGTCCCCGCAGTTCAAGCAAGCGCTGTAGACAACATGAACACACAAACTGGACACACGACTGCACACTGCTACTGGGTCCCCGGCCTGGTGAACTAGCACAGTACTACAACACTATATTCTTACTGCTCCGGGTTCCCCTGTTCATCAAGGTGAGCTGCTCTCTCTCTCTCTCTCTCTAGAGCTCTGTGGCATGTTCACACCACTGGCCTCAAGCTCAGAAGGTTCTCGGCGCCAAACCTGCATTACTTTGCCGGCTCGTTTGCAGAACTGGTGCCGGAGCCAAAATACCGCACATCGTCGAGTCCCTGCCCTGACACCTTCAGCCCTTCGTGGATCAACCAGCCATGCAGCTCGACCATGCTGAGGTCGCTGCGCGCACGAGCAGCGTCATAAGTCGTGTGCTAGCTTTCTGCATCTGGCTTCGCAGCACCTGGAGAGAACTGTGCAAAATTATCTCGCATAAATCTTTCATGCTGGCCATGCTTGCATCATAGAAAAGAAGGACATGTAAAATGCCTGAAACATCGTGAAGCTCCTCCGAGTGCCGTGCGAGATGTTCAATCTCTGCAAGAGAGAAGATTTGGCCAGCGACGAGGTATGAACAGCTGTTGTAAAATCCCAGAAGAGACCTGGCAGGCTCCAGTTCGGAACCAACAGAAGTAATCACACTTTGCAAAGGCAGATGCTGCCTCAAGGTTCTTGGGCGTCCATAAAGGCCGCACGAGTGTACCAGGAGGCTGTGATACACATTAACCTCACGCTTTCGGTGCATGATTCTATTGGCAGCTGCGGCTGCCTTCCGTTGCGAGCTGCTAACAGTTGTAGAGCACGAAGCACCAGTGAAGACGCGACAACAGTGTCAAGTGCCGCTAGATGTTCACTCCAGAGCCGCGGCCCATAAGCTCTTGAAAAGGCTTGAGGGCGGTGCCCAAAAGCCCCACAGGTCCTTCCCATCAGTCAGCTCTGAGTGCAGCAAAAGGAAACGCCGACAGTATCAATCGACAACTAACTTTGCCCTCTGCTGCTGCGCTTCTTGCACAGACACGGACCCAATCAGCAGGGGTCCTGCGGATCTAGCGGCGTGAGATCGACGGTTTTCAGCTTGCAGCTCAGCTGCGTGACAGCAAACCTTGGGATTGAAATTGAAATCATCTTGCCTCGAGTTCGACAAACGCGTCTCCCTAGCGGCGTCCCTCTCGGCCATTTGCAATTTGTCAGGGGGACTCCCTTGCGCGCCTCAAGCAGAAGGTGCGATCGATGCGTAAATGTCTGGTCGACCTCAACATACCTTGGGCAGATGCTGATTGCAAGCCGAAGCAGCTCCGAAGACCTCGTCGCCGCAGAAAGAAAAAGTCTGCCGGCTCTTGTATTTGCTTGAAGCGTGCAGTTCGGGCGAGGCCCTGGCAATGAGAGCGGGTCCTGACTGAGCCAGTTTAAGCTACGACATGCTGCGACTTGCAAGCCAGCTCAACCTGCAACTGCAAAGAGCGCCAAACCACTACAGTGTGAAGTAGCAAACAACAATTTGCAACACGAAGGCCTTGCAAACATCCAAGCACAGCTCGAAATCGTTACAGACGAGACGGTTCAGTGGCCATCGACGAAGCCTGGCTTGGTTTGCACACAGATCACTTCCTCAGCTAGGCTTGGTTGATCTTGGTTGGTATCTTTGAGCTCTGATGGACTGCGTAGCTTCCCAGGCTCAGTTGTGAAGCTGTAGAGCGAAAAAAAGTGTCGCGAGCTTAATGGGACAGTGACAGTCATCTGAGGAACACCCCAGGTTGCTAAAGGTTGCCTGTCTTTCCAGGGACTTGCAGTGGCGGCTGGCGTGTTTGTTGGGCTCGGACTCCTTGCGAGGAGAAGTGGGCATTGCAGTCACAATGAAACGCCCCTCCGATTTACTGAGTTGACTGACGCTTTCAGTGACGCTGCCCACTTGTCCGCTTCTTCTGTAGACCTGGATCAAGCGATCTGGAGCCTTCTCTGAGGCAATCTTCTGATGGGTAAAGTATGGTAGAGTCGTGAGCTAAACTTGCAAAGGAACACATACGAGCAGGCCTTGTGACGAAGACAAACTGCCGTTGCGGGATTGTAACGGCCACAGCTGGTGCACCTGCAATCACCGTCCTGCATCCGACGTAATGTCACTCACCACTTATCATGATGGCAGTGCTTGTATGTTTGTATGGGACGGCAAACGCACGTTTGATTGGGTAACGCCAGCTGAACAGGTTCCTTGGAGTGCAGTGTTTAGGTCCACAGAGACTTGCTGCAGGTTGTCTTGAGAGTGTCGTCAAACTCTGAAACATTGTCCTGGAAACGGATGCAAGGCTCAGCTCCAACAGGATGTCCTCCGTAAAGTATGCTTGGGGCCTGTGCCATGTCGAAGTGCGCAAGCAAAAGTGTGCGCTGCACTTCACATGGATGAGGCTTTTGCGAGCAGCTCGGAGGGTAGTGAGGACAGTTGTGCTGCACATGAATCTTGGACGGTCATGAGGTCTGCGCTGCTGCACATGCTGTCGGCTTCTGACAGCAGCTACTGCCACTGCGCCTGTCGAAAAAAGAGCGGCTGCCAGTGTCACTCTTCCAGCGCAGGGCCTGTGCTTGCAAACAAACCGAGCCTCTGCGCCTCTTCACATGCAATGCGAAGTGCCGGGAACAGGTGCTGCATTTGCAAACAAGATACACGAGCTGTTGCAGCCAGGCTTTTTGTCTTTAGAACGCACAACCCTATTGCTTCAGAGATTGTGTAAAAGCATCCTCGAGGCAAATAAACTCACCCACGATGCCTACTCCACTGTTGCAGCACCCAGGGAAGGGTTCTGGGTCATTTGCCAATGGCACTTCGTCGTTGGAGGAGAATGCAGGCAGCTGCAACGAGCCTGCCCAAAAAATCTCTGCTTTCGGCTTGCACTTTGGAAAACGCAAGCTGCGTCCTCTTCGGGCCGTTTCAGCAGCTTGCCGGAGCACGGCACTTTTCGATACCACCTGATCACGGCGCAGTCTGGTGCGTCTCCGTCGGAAGCTGGTGTGCTGAAGTTCAGATTCAGAGCGGTACCAGGCTTTCGCGCATCTCAACCCGGCATGAAGGTTTCAAACGTGAGCACGTTCTGCAAGGAGCAGGTTCGAGCCTGCAAACCTGATATTGGCGCCTGACTGCTAAGAGATGCCGGTTGCAGTTTCACTTTGAACATTCATGACTATCATGCAGCGTGTCCTGCCGGCCTCGGCGCCTGCTCGGAGGACGGCATCCGTTGTTCGCGCCTGTAAACTGTACAGCTTCAAGCTTCAGCTACCACAGCCCCCGTACTTGCCAAAAATGCCGGGTACGGTGCCTCAGTCACAGAGACCTTTCGCTCGACGATCCGGCCCTCGCTCTCCACGACCCCAACCCAACCTGGACAGCACCAAATGCCAGCAGCTTTCAAAATATGCATGCAAGAGGTATGCCACGGGCTACAGGGCCTCCGCTGGTGCTTGCCAATAACCGTGGCAAAGCCACATCCATTCGGATGAACCTTGGGGCCACTCAACAATGACTTGCCAACGAAATGCATCAACAACGAACACCACGAAGTTCAGCTTCAGGCTCGTCGAGTAGTGCAGGATCTAACTGCGACAGTAGCTTTGTAGCACGACGCCGAGTCATTTCCATGTCCTGTGGTCAATCAGCTGAAGCAAACCAAAGTGCAGGGGCGGTAGCTTGAAGCTTGGGGGGGTGACCACCAACCCTCCCCCTCTTTCCTGTTCTCGAGGCCCAAGACCACCATCACCCCACCTCATGTACAATGCTCCGCCGAAAAACTCTACTACTACTACTGCTGCTACTACTACTACGACTGCCACCAATAACAAAACTATTAATATATCAATACAAATAACTCGTGCGTTTTAGCTTTCCCTGAAGGTGCAGGGCGGTGGTGGCAACACCTCAAAGGCTGAGATAGGCTGAGGCAGCGCAGACCGCGTTGCGGAGAACCATAAGTGCTTTCGAGCACAATTTGCATACATCCGAACAAACTTGTTTGGACCGGGTAGATGTGACCCTTGATCGACGCTGTCGACGAAATCCAAAGCCCTCAGGCCCTCATCAGCCCGAACCCTCAAGCCCCGACACCCCCACCCTCAACCTGCCAGAGACACCCCCACCCTCAATTTGAAGCCCAAAGCCCAAAGACACAATTCCTAACTGAAGGTTTCCAGAATTCGGCGCTCCCCACAGAATTAGTAAAATGTGCCGAAAGGCCGAGTTTTGGGCATGTGAAGTAAGGAAAAGCATGGCGTCCATTATGCACTACGCTCCTAGTAGTAGTAGTAGTAGTAGTAGTAGTAGGCGCCCCCCCCCTACCAACCACCTCTGCTGCCAACCCTCTTAAGAGCACGTTCGTTTTACTCGGTATTTTCGGTACGTTCGTCCTGTCATACCAC